TGATTTCCTAAAGAAAAAAATTAGAAATGGAAGTGAATCTTTATTTAACTTAATCTAGAATATCAATCCAAAACTTAAAGGAAACATCATACTTAATAGTGAAAGTTTTAGAGAACTTCTCATTAAAATAAAACAAAACAAGGACACCTGCTGTCCCTGAGATGGGGAGGAGAGGAATCGCTTCTCATCATAAAATCTTCTGTACTGTTTGTGTATTAGTTTGATTTTTAATTTTTTATATAAAACAATTATGATTGAATTTATAGCTGTTTAATATTTGCTTTACTCAACATATCAACATAGTTACGATTTAGTTAAAGCTTAATCAAAACATACCATGTAATTTTAATGTTGTTCTTCCAGAAACCCATTAACCTACTTTATAAAGATCCTTCTTTGATGTGAATTCTAAGAGTACAACACAGTGAGAAGATGGCCTGAAGTGAGGGTGTGCATCCACAGTCTTCTCAAGGGTCTTGTAATCAGCAAGTAGTTCATGAAACAAAGAAGCTAGGATCTGAAGGCTGGAAGGGGATGGAAGTATGCTTGTCTAACAAAGCACTAGGTACTTGAACTCAGTATATCCTTAACTTACATTGTTCTATGTTCTGGACTCATTTTTTATGTCACATAAGGTTCTAAAGTATTATAAATTAGCAATAATGATTATGAGTAGTAAGAATAGTAACAAAGATGATGCTTGACTTTTTTGCACGTTTATAATGTACCAGCACTATGATAAATATTTCATGTGTATCATATTTTTGATGTTAGGAAACCAATTGATAATTCCTTACAAATGACTTATTAGTTACAAAGGGAAAGTGATGATTTTATAAAAGAAGGCCTTAATGAAGTGATTAAAGTTAACATTGCCAATATTGATACCATCTGACATGTTGTGCCTTTTGGTGATGCCCTGAGGACACAATATAACTCCTGTAGTATTTTGCCAAAATATAAAATCTCAATTCAATAAAATATCAGACAAACCGAAATGAAAGGACATTCTGCAAAATAACTGACCTGTACTTTTAAAACATGTCAATATTATAAAACACAAAAACTGATGAGTTACTAGAGATTAGTAGTGTATTAGTTAGCTTTTCATTGCTGACAAAATACTTGAGAAAAGCAACTTAAACGAGAAAATATTTATTTGGCTCATGTTTTCAGAGGTTTTAGTCCATAGGCACTTGATCCCATTGCTGTGGACTTGTGAGGCAGAACATTATGGCAGGAAGAGCAAGGTAGAGAGTGAGGAAGGGGTCAGGGACAAGATATACCCTTTACAGGCATTGCCCCAGTGACCTACTATTGAACATTGCTACTTTGAGGACCAAGCTTTCAACATGTGAGCCTTTGGGGAATATGCAAGATGCAAACCATAACAAGAGAAAAGTCAAGAGATATGACAACTGAATTCATGATCCCATTTTGGATCCTGAATTGGAAAAAGTAACTAAAAAGGACAATATTCATAAAAATGAAAACTTCAAATGTTCTACAAATTATTGTATCAATTTTAACTTTCCAGATTTAGATAAATGTACAATGGTATAACAGAATGTCTTTGTTCTTAGAAAATGCACACTAAAATAGTTTGGAATAAAGAGCCATTTACTCCAAAATGCTTGAGAAAAATAATATTTGAATGTATGTGTGTGTTAATATATACACATAAATACAGAGAGAAAAGGAGGAAATAAAGTAGATGGGGTAAAGTATAAAATATTTAATTTGAAATCATCAAAACAAATTTTTTAAAAATGAGATAGAGGGCTGGGGATGTGGCTCAAGCGGTAGCGCGCTCGCCTGGCATGCGTGCAATCCGGGTTCGATCCTCAGCACCACATACAAACAAAGATGTTGTGTCCACCGATAACTAAAAAATAAATATTAAAAATTCTCTCTCTCTCTCTCTCTCTCCTCTCTCACTCTCTTTAAAAAAAATGAGATAGATAGGCGCTATTATCCTTTACTACAGATGAGAAGAGTGAGGATCAGAATGGTAAGTCTTTATATGATTAGTAAGTAGTGGAGTCTGGGATTAAACCCAGGACTATCTGATTCCAAAGTCTACACTCTTAATTATCAGGATCTATTGCCTCAAATTTCCATGACTTTGTTTAGAATGAAACATTTGCCTCTAAATCAGTGCTTTCATCAAAAGTAATCTTGAGAAAATTTCATGTTTTCATTAATTGATGCTCTTGCTGCCTATACTTTTCTTTTGGAAATATAGTTTAAGAATAGTTTCATACTATTAAGAATATTCACATATTCAAATATGCCTGGATTTCAAAAAAATTTCCCATATATCTGTGTTACTCCCCAAAAAAGGGAATGCATGAAGAAGTACATTAAGTCTGCTTTAAAAGCTGTCATATGAGCCAGGCGTAGTGGTGCATGCCTGTAATTCCAGCAGCTCAGGAGACTGAGGCTGCAGGATTACAAGTTCAAAACCAGCCTCAGCAATTTACTAAGGCCCTGAGCAACTTAGCAAGACCCTATCTCAAAATGAAAAATAAAATGATCTGGGGATGTGGCTCAGTGGTAAAGTATCTCTGGGTTAAATCCCCAGTACCAAAACAAAACAAAACAAAAATACACCACAATTTGCAGCTCAATACCATGGTGTACCCCCATAATTCCAGTGACTCCAGGGGCTAAGACAAGAAAATCATGAGTTCCAGGCCAGCCTGAGAAACTTAGGGAGAACTGTCTTAAAATAAAATAAAAAGGGTTGGGAACCAAAGGTCCGAGCAGGGGATATAGCTCAGTGGTGGAGAACACATGAGTTTTGGGGGGACATGCCTGATGCAAACCATAATAAGAGGAAATTAAAGAGATAAAAGACAACTGACTAGCATGTGACTGGCCCTGGAGTTGATCCTCAACATGGCAAAAAACAAAACAAAAAATAGTTACTATGCAGTGTCAAGAATATTCAATGGAGAAAGAATAGTATTCCACCCCCTGCCTTTTTTTCCTTCTTGTTTTTTGTTTGTTTTTGTTTTGTTTTATTTATAGTACTGGAGATTGAACCCTAGGTGCTTTAGCACTGAGCTCCACTCCCAGCTTTATATATATATATATATATATATATATATGTGTGTGTGTGTGTGTGTGTGTGTGTGTGTGTGTGTGTGTGTATAATATTTTAAATAAAATATTTATTTTTATTTTTTAATAATTTTTGTAGTTGTAGATGGACAGCATGCCTTTATTTTATATGTTTATTTTTCTGTGGTGCTGAGGATAGAACCCAGTGCCTCACATGTGCTAGGCAAGCACTCTGCCACTGAGCTATAGCCACAGCCCCTATATTTTATTTTTTAATTTTGAGACAAGGTCTCACTAAATTGCCCAGACTAGGGGAACTTTTGATCTGCCTGCCTCAGTCTCTTCAAGTAGCTAGTCTTTTCAACAAATAGTGCTGGGATAATGTAAAAGAATAAGGGTGTGCTCCCTATCTCACACCTCAAAATGAATCAAAGACCTAAATGTAAAAGCTAAAAGTATAAAATTCTCAGAAGAAAATATAGGCATGAATCTTTGCAACCCTGAATTAGTCTATCATTCTTTTGATAAGACAACCAAAGCCACAAACAAAAGAAAAATGGATGAATAGAATTTCATCAAAGTAAATATTTGTACTTTAAAGGACACGATCAAAACACTGAAAAGTTGACCCACTGAATGGGAGAAAATATTTGCAAGTCACATATCATGAATGACAGATTTATAAATATATTATGAACTTCTAAAACTCAATAATAAAAATATAAATAACCCAATTAAATATGACCAAAGAATTTGAGTAGACTTTTTTTTCCTTAAAAGATATAGAAGTGGCTAATAAACACATGAAAATATGTTCAATATCATGCCATCAGGGAAAAATGCAAATTAAAACTACAATGAGATACCACTTCCAACCCACTAAAATGACAATACTCAAGAAGACTGATAGTAGCAAATATTGGCAAGGATCTGGAGAAACTGAAATCTTTATGCATTGTTGGTAATAATGTAAAAAGTTGTGGCAATTGCAGTCTGGCAATTACTCAGTTAAACATAAAGTTATCATATCAGTAATTCCATTCATAGGCATATACTCAAGAGAATTAAAAACATGCCAAACAAAAACCTGTGCACAAATGGTTGTAGCAGCACCATTCAAAATAGTAAAAGGTGGAACAATCCAAATGTTCTTCAACTGACAAATGGGTAAACTTGATGTGGTATATCCATATAGTGGAATATTTATTGGCCATAAAAAGGAATGGAGAATTAATGCATGCTAACAGCATGGATGAGACTTGAAAACAGTATGCTAAGTGAAGAAGCCAGAAACGTGATCCTCCTGTCACATATTATATGGTTCCAGTATGAAATGTCAAGAATAAGTAAATCTGTATAAACAGAAATTAGATTAGTGATTTTTGAGGACTTGAGGGACGGGAATGAATGTTATTAGATATGTGGTTTCTTTGTTGGGTGATGAAAATGTTCTGAAATTGGGTAGTGGTGATTTATGCACAACTCTGAATATAGTTTAAAAAATCAGTTTATTTATTTATTTATTTATTTATTTATGATGCTAGGGATTGAACCCAGGGCTTTATGCATGGAAGGTAACACTCTACTAAGTGAGCACTCTACCAACTCAGCACTGCTGCAAATATATATATATATTATTGTATGTAAATTGTCTCCATAAAGCCATGATTGATTGATTGATTTTTTTTTTTGTACAAGGCATTGAACACAGGTGGGGCTTAACCACAGAGCCACATCCCCAGAACTTTCTATTATTTTTTTAAATTTGGAGACAGGGTCTCCCTAAATTGCTTAGAGCCTTGATAAGTTGCTGAAGCTGGTCTTGATCTTGTGATCCTCCCGTCAGCTTCCCATAATATGTGTGTGCAACTGTGCCCAGTAAAGCTATAATTTTTTAAGTCAATGTTGATGTCTACATTGCTATTCAGAAATTGCTCTAAGCCTTTTTTACTTCTACATACCTCTTTCCTCCACCTTCCCTGTTGTCCTAACCATGTCTGATCATGTACTTTCATTCTTATTTTCCAGATTACCTCTTGGATTTGAAGAGAACCAGTGTTTGAATATTCCATCCATCTGTCCACAATACTATAATTAATTGACCTAACATGGATCATTTCAGTGATAGAATGACCCGTGTCAGGTCAATTAATACCAACATGATTCAATTTAGGGACTTCAGTTGCTCCACTAGGGAAGCAGATTTCATTGGCGGATTAGGCATTGTTAGATTGAAGATATCAGAGGTCTCCAATTAGAGCCTACAAAAGGAAACCGACCCAGAAGTATCTCTGATGATTTCTGGTGAAATTATTTGCACTCTGGATTAAGCCATACATGAAGTTGGTTCTGCCCCTGAATATTTAATCTATAATGAACTATAAATTGCCTGTGTTGCTCAATTCAGTTTGAGTCTTTTATTAGTCACTTGAAATGAAAGAATTCCACATGATATGGCTTTTTTTCCCCCTGGATCCTAAACGACATTGGGGCATGATTTCCAATCTCTGCCCTTAAGACCCTGTTCATCAGGCCTATGCACTCACTTGTTATTGCCTATAAAAGGGGGGACATCAGACCACCCTCATGTCTCAGAAGGCATTAATTTAACTCACATATAATGCATAAATAAATGACCAGCAAATAGCCCTTACCTCTTTACTGAAAAGTTGGAAGGGAATTATTGTAATCAGGAGCTCGTCTTCCTACCCAAAAGAGAATTGTTGGCAGTACAGGGAGGCCAAAAGTATGTAGCCTCAATAACCTTGAGAAAGTGTAACTAAGGTTGGTCTTTGAGAATTAAACTAGTAGAATCCCCACACAAGGAGTGTCGTCTGACATCCATGACAGCCAACCAAGAGTGTGCCTGTTTGAAAACTACAAAACTCCAGTCAAGGTCGTCACCTCAGAGAAACCAAAATGAAATGCAATTGCAATTAAGCAATCTGAAAACTAATTCTATGCTCTCCCACACCTAGCCTTATGCTTGGCACGTAGCACCATCAGTAAATATTTGTTGAATGAATGAATCAGCATGAACAAAAGTGTCAACATGGCAGAGGAAATCTAAGAAGCCAGAAGCAGGCAGTTATCCTTCATACGAAGTCCAAGAGACAGGAAATTTCATGTATATAGATATAGATAGGAACCTAGATGTGGAGGTGGATAAATATAATAGAGATAAACATAGACACCTGAATCTGTGTGCTTGGTTAATATACACCTACCACTGGACTACAGACCCACTCTCAGTATGGGGGTCAGACCTTGGACCCTACTGCATAGAATAAGGTAAATTTCATCTTCTGTGGCCCCTTGGCAGCCAGCCAGCTGGCTTTCATCTAGTGATAACCTCTGCCTTTGTCATGAGCTGAGCTAGCCTTGGCACTGCCAACTATTTACAGAGACATAAAAATCACAACTATAACATCAGGGAAGATGTATAAAAAATACAAACCACACTGGATAATCAGTATGATTCCCCCTTCTATAATCTATGTTGGAAGTATATGAAAGAGGGTTGGGTAAGAATATTGACTGTGCAAGAGTTGTCTTTGTGGAGCCCAAAGAAGGGGCAGAGGGTGCTTCCCATTTCCATTGAAAGCACCATATTCACAGAGGAATGGCTGCACCTCTTGCTCTAGATAAAAAACGCATTCCAGATAAAAAAACAAACACAAGTTTTCTATTTTTAAACTTACCAGGTCAATGTCACGCCTTGCCTTACGCTAGCTACACTGTGGTTACCCTTTCTTATCAAAGGAAAACACAGGGCCTCATTGAGTTCTCTGTCACTCATAACTGGAGAAAAGGGAGTTGGATCATCTTGATTTATTTTTATTCTTTTTATTCTTTTTTTGTTGAAAAGGTCAACCAAAAAATGTTTGCTTAAAAAGAAAGGATATTATGTAAAAAATTAGCCCATTCCAAGATTATGTTGTGCATATATGGCACAGCAGAAAGCTTATAAAAGGGCTGGATTACGTAGCAGGATCAGTTTATGAACTGGACATAGAGAGCTAGATCAGCTTTTCTAGAACATGGGTAGATGGATGGTGCTGGCTAATAGAATGAGGACCCCCAGTCTAGACCTGGATTCTCAATTCGCAAAGAGCCAGATATCAGTGAAGGCGACCAAAATGCTAACACCATATTGAACCAAACGGACTCTTCATCAATTGATGAATCTATTGTTTTATAGAATTCTGTAGAGGCTCTGAGTCATCAGCCTGGATACCAATTCCTTTGCATGGGATCGAAGACAGAGAGCTTAAGAAGAACTGGGATAGTCGGTAAGTGTCTGCTCAGACTGACATCCAGGGATACATGCAGAGGTTCATTTGGATGACGTTTTTTTTCCCTCTGATTTTGTAGATTCAACTGCAGCTTTCTCACCTATTAGTTGGTCTCCTGAGGCTGAAATCTGAAGCATCAAAAGGTATTGACAATATTAAAGCTTTTATTTGACCATTAAGCAATGTCTCCTTCTCCCTTAGGTGAAAGTAGAAATGTTTATCCAAATGTTTTGTGATATGTTTTTGTTTCAGTATTATCTGCAAGCAAAGAAGATAGTGTTGATATAAAAAGCTGATTAAAATTAAAATAGTGCCACCCATTAGATTGTTGAGGGCATCCAAGATCCCTAGTTGACACACTGTATTGGGAGAAGTCCATTTTGAACAAAGTTCTGGAGGATTGAGCTCTGCACGAAAGAGCTAGCTGCCAATGATAATAAATGTCTAACACCCTTACCTTGATTATAGCCTCCTCAACCTGTTCTGTGTTCCCAGTTCTAACTCATTTTATATAGCATTTAGGGCCTAATATTGATTTTAGTACTCAGATCTGAGGTTTGACACTTTCTTCCAAAAGGGACTTTTTTTTTTTTTTTGGACACCACTTGGAATAATTTCTGCTCTTCCTGCTCTAGGTAAACATTCCACTTGATCCAGGAACAAAAACAAAGCAAAGTGAGAATGAGGAGAAACATGAACAAAGACTTTTCAGCTCGCATGGAGGCTCTGATCACCCAGGCAAGTGACATAGATCCAGCCACCACAGCAGCAGGAGCACTCACAGGGGTGGTACCCCCAGTTAAGACTCTACTTGAAGATGCTCCACTCACTGCAAGTCATGGAGTAAATGTGGGTCAGAAAAGTGTAGGTCAAAAAGACAATGATGAGATGAAAAAAGTGTGTGATTTTAGTTTGTATCTAAGTGCAGAGGCTGATGGGCCATGCCCAGATTTGGCTTTGGTTCATGCTGCACTGGAAGAAGATTCCTGTGCTGCTGATGGTGAGGATAATGTAGGGAAGAAAACCAGCCGTAAAAGGAGGAATAAAAAGGAAAGTAAGATTGTGTATCTTCCTTTGCCTCTGACACTGCAGACTCGGGCATCGTCTGCAGCCCAATTTCTAAGTCAATCTTGTGCCATGGAGTCTTTCCCAATTGCTAATGTGGGGCAAGCAAGCAATGAGCAAAGGTGGGATGAGACATCAGTTCTTGCTCAGCCTTGGGAGGCACTGAATGGTGCTGTGCCACCAGAAACAAGTCCAGGTCAGTCCTCTCTTGAGGAGGCCTCTGTGACAACCAATGAGGAGAACAAAGTACAGCAGAAAAGCAAAAGTAAAGGGAAAAATAAAAAGAATGAAAAGATTGCAGGTGGTCCTTGGCCTCTGACAGTACAGGCTTGGGTATCTTTCACAGGCCCAAATCCAGCACAGACCAGTATTACAAGGCCTTCACCAATTGTGAATGATGCAATCAGCATAGGGCCAAAAAGCAGAGGTCAAAGATGTGAGGATAGCATGTCAATTCTTACTTTGTCTCAAGACACAGATGGCGGTGACTCAAGCTCATTTGTAGCTCTAGGACGGGCTTCCCTGGAGGAATTGTCCTCTGCTCCTAACAGTGAGGCAAATGTAGGAAAGAAAAGAAAACGTAAAAGGAGGCATAGAAAGCGCAAAAATGCCCTGGCTCATCTCTGGCCTCTGACAGTGCAAGCCTGGGCATCATTTACAGAAGCAAATCCAGCCCAGACCCTTTTACAGGGGAAACCTCTAGGGAGGGAAAGCTGGCCTCAACTGGAGAAGTGTGAGGAAGAAAGAAAGTCTGTTATCCCTTGGTCTGAGGGGACACAGACTGGGCCGCCCTGCTCCATAATGGCTTCTTTGCAGACTTCATTTGAGGGGGCTTCTCTTTTAGAAGATATCCAGACAAAGCTGAAAGAACTTAGGAGGAGGCCTGTGAAGAGAGATGAAGGGCAACTGCAGAATAGCATAGAGCTCACCCTGGAATCCTGTCAGGGTTGGAGAAATGCAGAGAGATACCCAAGGGATCAGAACTTCTGGGAATGTACCGTCATGAATTTTGCTAGGCAAGTTGATTGTTGTTATTGTGGGGAGCTCTGCTCACAAGAGAGAATGGAGGCTTTGACTTTGACCAAAGCCCATACCCACATCAGTACTTCAGTGATGGGAATGCATGGACCAGAGAAGGAAGGGGCTGAATCGCAGACAATCTGGATGGGGAAATGGGAAAGCTTTTAAGATAAAGAAGATAAAAGAAAGGGAGCTAAGGAGCATTCTGGGTCCTGGAAGTGCAATTGTCTGCATTTTGGGGGGAGAGAGGAATGTTTAAAATGCTACTCTGAGGAAAGAGAGGTTAAATATACAAATGGTAAATTTCTCCAGATTTTATGGTAATATCATAATTACTCTAATCGTGGGAGATTTCTCTCCTAATTAAGTTTTCAGTTTATTAGCAGATAAAGAGAACCTCCTTTCTTCTGTCTATCCTCTTCCTCATAAATTCTCTGAAAGGATTGGAAAAGTTGTGTTGTTATGACTGATAAACAGTATTATGAGTCTAGATTACAAACGAATGATACAATGTATATTGGATCCTGAGGATACTGCCCTTGACTATAAAATGTTATTGAATATTGTATGTAACATTGCAAACTGACTTCATTATATTTAATTCTGGTACTGACCACTTAATAGTTGTTAAGAGCATGGGCTCTATAGCTACAATGGCAAGATTCAAAGCTGTGTTCCTCTGAGTAAATTACTCATCTTCCCTGGGTCCCAATTTCCCTCTCCCACACAGAGAGGGAAATAATAATAATAACACCTCTTAGAGTTCTGTGAGATTAAATGAATTAACAAATTAGCAGCACTTAGAAGAGTATTTGGCATACCAGAAGCCCTCACACAATGTCAAATGTCATTACTTTAACTTAAAGCACTTAAGTTCTGTAAAAGGGCTGGTTTTGTGGTACTATGTGTCCTAAAAGTTACATAAATGTCATTGCATACATAATATGGAATATGAAGCTTCTATTTAAGTTATAGTAACAAAAATGCTTAAGGGCATAGAAAAATGCTACTTATGGGGGGAAAGCAGGTTATTTCTGAGGTAGTGGATATTAAGCATGTCAAGAAATTCTTCAGCAATAAAGACTTGGAGAGAAATGCACTCTTGTGTTTATATTGGTCACTGCTGGGTAGGGAGAGCATGCCTGGGTAATGGTTGGTTCTGCCTCTTAATCCTTTTGTGTAACTTCCACATGTCTACATGAGTACATAACACTTTAGGATCAGCAAATCATCTAGAATTAATGAGGGAAAAGAGAAGACTTCTCAATAGGAGACATGTCAGAGGAGAATCACCCAAGGCTAGAGGGTTGAATGGACCAGGCCTTTCTAAGCAAAGACACACCAGCTGACTGCTGCTGGAAAACAGACCCAGGTACCTTTGGCTGGGACACTACAGAACCCAGACAACCACCTTGGGAAGGAGGAAAGAGACTTCAGTTTGCTCAAACAACATTGGAAATAAGTGAGAGAAAATGACTATGCTTCTGCCCAAACCAATATTGTCTGCTTTTGCAGAGACAATGCTGCTCTGACTGTATTTCTATTTTCTCTATTTGTTGAAAGTTTATTCAAGGAGCTTGGCTGAACAATGTAGTTGAGCATATCTTGAGATTAAAAAATTAATTTTGAGGTAGATGTGATGATGCACACCTGTAATCCCAGCAACTCAGGAGGCCAAGACAGGAGGATCACAAGTTCAAAGCCAGCCTCAGCAATTTAGAGAGGTGCTAAGCAACTGAGTGAGACCCTGTCTCTAAATAAAATACAAAATAAGGCTGGGGATGTAGCTCAGTGGATAAGTGCCCCTGGGTTCAATCCCCAGTACAAAAAAAGAAAAAAGAAAGAAAGCAAAAAGAAAAAAAAAGAAAGAAATTAATTTTGTTTTGGTATTTTATATAGCCTGACATTGAGATCAATAAAATATTGTCCTCATGTATTCATTGGCAACATAGAAGGGGTAGATATTCATGGAAGCTCTGAGAGGGCTCAAGCACCCTCATGTGTGTCCCATTAGATAGTCCTAGCTGAGATTTTGGGGAATTTTGGAGAAAAACTTACACAAAGGTGTAGGCAGGACTTTTCTGATGCCCACTCATCTCCTGCCACAAGGAGTCCAATTTATAATCTGTTCTTCCTCAAAAAGAATAATAGTTCTCCCACTTGGCCACACTCCTTTCTGTTCAACCCAGAACCTTAACAAGAGAGGAATTGGGTATACATAGGTAATAGAGAGTGGCCATATAGCCTCACTACACTCTATATGTAGTGAGGGACATTCTGACATGCATCAAGTTTATAATATGAAGAACAAAAATCTTCTGGTCAGTGGGGCTTTGGCAGGACAAGAACAATCAACAGGGCTGATGTTTTCTTTCTCTCTGGTGAATTCTTTCCACCATTATGAGTGGTAAATTTAGTGCAGGGGAGCTAAGCAGAGCAAGGGCAGGATTAGGGGAGAGGAGACAAAGAGACATTGATTGACCAGTTCTTGGTCTAATCCGAGTTTAAGGCTAAGAGAGAAGACAAAGAATAATGCATAACACACATTAGATACAATTATGTATGTTATATAATTATATTTTTATATAATATCTATCTATATATTATAAATAAATATATATTTTTCCTTTCTCACACTACCCACCACAATTCTGGGTGATTAATAGAGTGGATTCTTTTCACTTCATTGTCTAATTCAGCTCACCAAAGTAAGAGAGATAGAAATGAAATTGAAGCAGAAGCTTGTATTTGTTAATAAAGACTGAATTTATTTAACAGATTTTCTGTGTCACATAGTCTTGGGAACCTTCAAGTCCAATTGTGGGTAACTGACAGGACCCTTGTTATAGTGTGGAGGGAACTCATATCTGAGAAGTGCAACTGCTCTTATCAGTTTCTTTTTCTTTATCCTATGACTTTCATAACTTGCACTTAAAAGAAGTAGAGGCTAGGAGAGGGAAGGGAGACCTGAGCAGCACCCAGTGAATTGTCCTTCATTTACAAAGGTAACACATAGAAACTGGTCTTGGAGTCAGCCTTTAAGCCAGGATTTCTAGTCATGACACCCTATTTCTTCACTATTCCAAATGTACATCCTTCTGACTGCCTTATTTCCTTAAGAATACTTTATACTTCCAACCCTATAGAGCCCTGCACCCTAACAGGTATCAACCACTTCAACAAAGTCACTCATCTTAGTGTCCCCCAAAGATACCTAGAACATTCCCACTGCTTTTCTGAAATTCTCCCCTTTGCCCTTTACTCTTGGTCTGATCCTCCATTCCTGGACATAAAACCTCACCAGGCTTTCCTGTTAGCCCAGTGATTCATTTTCATTACTTCATCTGGATCTTTCTTTTTCACCTGAATCAAAGCTGTTTATTACTTCAAGGGCTCAGTGAAGTTCTGTGACAGGAAGTACTCTTGCAGGATAGATATTGTTCTAAAACTGAGTCAGCCTCTTGGGGGCCTTTTCCTGTATACATGAAGTAGGCCATGTGCCCAAGGGACCATACTTTAATCTCACAGCTAGGTAAAGAAATTGCTAAAAATCATGCATTTCCTACAGTAAAATAAACAGGCCCTCTGGGGTGTTGGTAAGGGGCCATGTGAAACACAATGGCCCTTTCAAGGGACCTGCCTTAAGTAATAATCTTGCAGTATGCTCAGTTTATATAGTCTAGCTTCTAAGGAGCTCACAGGGGCTCTTTTATACCAAAACATGCTGTCCTTAGCATATGAACACAATCTTAATGACCCATTAGCAATAGGAGTTGGAGTAGGCAGTAGCCTTGGAGTTGTTTTGCCAGCAGCTGAGACATGCACTCAAATCCTTTGGTCTGTAACTCCAGCTCCTATGACTAAGGCAACAATTTTCCAGCCAGGGTTAGGCCTTGGAAAGGAGCAAAGTTCATTGATCCATGAGGTCCATTCCCCTGGCCCTGTGTCTGAAGGACTTAATGCATTCTTATTCCTCACACAACTCCAAGAGTGCAAAACTCTGAAATCTATCCAAATTCAAATCCTAACCCTTCTTTACTAAATTGAGTAAATTATTTAACCCTTCTATGCTTCAATTTCTTCATCTGTAAATTGGGAATAATTATACCTACCTCATGTGATTGTTGTGAGGATTAAAATAGGTCATATATGTCAAGGGCCTGAAGTGATAGATGGCATGTATTTCAGTATATAATGAATATTGGTTCTTACTATCATTCCTTCTTTTCTCAATGAGAACATCAAAGAGCTGAGGTATGTTGCTGTGCAGGCTATGGTTTTATCTAAAAGCAGGAGCTCAATTCTTAACTATCTTCATCTGGTTATCAGACTAAATTCCTTGACAACAATGTAGCACCCACCCCCAGCACATCTTGACAATGTTGCTCAAGTACTTTTTTTTTTAATGGAGCAGACACTGCCTTGGGTTATGAGGAAACATCAGAAAAGTAGCCTACCTGGTGAGATGGACCAAAGCAAGGCAACTTCAGCAGCATACATATCACAGTGTACACAGGGCAAACTCACTGGATCCAAGCAGATGCAGGCCCAGCACCCAGAATGTGCTTTAAACTCAAAGCTGAGAAATCTACAACAAAAGGTCTGGGAAATGTCTTATAAGACATTCCTGGTTTTTAAAATAAAACGCTATGTGTGGGGGTGCTGGTTTCCTGATAAAGTGAAAAGAATCCACTCTATTAATCACCCAGAATTGTGCTGGGTAGTGTGAGAAAGGAAAAATATATATTTATTTATAATATATAGATATTATATAAAAATATAATATAATTATATAACATACATAATTGTATCTAATGTGTGTTATACATTATATATGGCATATGTAATATGTAATGTTAGTATATATTTATATATTATCATATGTTTATATTGTTATATCTGTAATTATTATAATCATGTTATTGCATTATATGCAACTATTGAAAGTATTAAGTACATCATTATAAATATGCATAAATATAAAACTATATCACATGTAATATATGATATATATTACATACATTATTTAATATTTATATATAGAATACAATATATAATTATATGATATGTGTATTTTATGTAATATATGTAAATATGTTATATGTTTTACAATAAATATATATTTATTACTTAAGCAGGTTACTGCATCTTTGTAGAGTTTTCAATCTAGCAGAAGTCTTTAAATAATTTAAAAATAATTTTTAAATATAATAATAAGTGTATACATATATGATTCAGTTCTATGAGGTACTGATATTGGATTATAATAGCCAAATTCATAGAGATAAAAAGTAGAATAGCAGGGGTTGGACAGAGGGAACTGGGGAATCCATTCTTTCATGAACATAGTTTCTACTTATAGTGATGAAAAAGATCTAGAAATTTACAGATATATGATTGTGAAACAATATGAATGTACTTAATGCTATTGATTTTTTTACACTGAAAATGATTAAAATGACCCATTTTATTTTACTTGCATTTTAACACATTTAAAAAAATGTAAGCTGTTTTTAAAAAGCCTCGTATGCTAAATTATATTGTCTAGCTTAAATAACTTCCATCCATAAAGACCTCAGAATGAGGAAAGTTTAAGAAAGATTGAACTAATTGGAGGAAACTTGTTTTGTTTGCAGTGCTGAGGATGGAACCCAGGGCCTTACAGATTTGAAGTATGTGCTCTGCCACTGAGTTACCCTCCAAGCCTTTGAGGAAAGTTATACAGAAAAGGAAAAAGATGAACCAGCTAAGATGAAAGTGTACAGTTTGGAGAAAGGGGAGTAAAGAGAGAATAGCTGAGGCAGAGGCCCAAAGCTAATGGTGAATATAGTCTGAACAATGAGCTAAATAGCCTGAGTGAAAGAGGTGTATTTGCTTCAGAGTGCAGTAGGAACTATGGCTGCTTGAATGGCATGGGGCAAGACCAGAGAGGAACCTGAACAGCAGGCTGACATTTGAAATGGAAGCTTTAGGCACTAGGAATTCATTCTCATCTTTTAAAATTTCATTTTTTTGCTATTGAAATCTGAGCAACATCTATGCTCCACTGTATTACAATCAGCCAATAAGCCTGGCTTTAATTATTCACTAAAGATATCG